TTAGTGTAAATGTGGCACTGGTGGATAAACGTTGGATTTGAAGAACTGCAGAATATTCTTCATCTTCTTTGATTATTCGTGTTAGAGGAATAGAATGAAAAGACATTATTGTCAAAAAAAATCAAGTTCTCTTTCAATAAAAAAGAAATTTTCCATTTTGCTCATAAGTTAAACCAAGCTCATAGAACTTGTTGTTTTTCAGTACAATTTGATATCGTACAAGAATAGTGACAATAAGAGAAAGAAAAAGAACTGAAATTGTAGTTCTTTTCACAAGATCCTTTTAATCTTGTCTATCTACTCTGATCAAAACAAAAAACAATGGTGTTTTTTCAAATCATCTAGGAAATGGCCATACCAGATGTCCTGTCTATGGTTTTGAATCCTATCATAGGCTGCAGGGATTCATTTAACATAAATATCCATTATATAATTCGACTAAAAAGTCGTTTAGTGTGGATTTACTCTGTTTATTCAAAATGAATTTTTTTTCAGCTTCGATTTCTTTCCAACATTTTTACAATCACAGCTTCGCTAACTTTCTCAATATCTTCAATGAGATAGAATTTTTTATTAATTATACACACTATATATGGACCAATTTGTTTACACAATGTACACGTGAAGCAAAAGGATACGACTAAAGAACGAAAAACAAAACATTTTGAGGGGTCGAGAGAGCTAGGGTTAAATAGGAGGCAGAAAAGGGTGCAGTGCAGGGGAGAATGGAAAATGAAAAGGAGGAACGGGGGAGGAAGAAAAAACACAAAGTGGTGAGAGAAAGAAAAGAAAGGGATCAGAGCGAGAAAAGAAAGGGGTCAAAGAGAAAAAAAGAAAGTGGCGAGAAAGAGAGAAGGGAGGATCCACAGAGAAAAAAGAAAGAAGATGCAGAATAAGAGAAAAGAGAAAGAAAGAGAGAAAGGAGCGAGGGAGAGAGAAAAAGAGAAAGGAGCGAGGGAGAGAGAAAAAGAGAAAGGAGCGAGGGAGAGAGAAAAAGAGAAAGGAGC